GCGGCAGACCTCTCCTGACCCGCCCGCTGCTCCCCTCAGTGGTGTACTTCGTCGATCTGCCTGTTCTGCTCCCCACTCTGTCTCTGGTGAAGCCTCTCACCCTCCTCATCTCTGGACTGTACCCCAGTTCTGTACGAATAAATAAATAAACCTTTAAAAAAAAACTGCTCTAAAAATATAAAGTCTGTTCATTTGAAAGAAAGAAAAAGTAAACAAGGTATCAGTCGAGAAGAGTTCTGAATGACATAGTGTCAACTCTCATCCTATTAACACAACTCAACATTTTAAACAAGGCAATGACAGAACTGTGTTTCTGGAAGGAAAATTCCGGGGAGAAGGCAGAAGAAATCAGACCAGGGGACCAATACGAAGATTATAGTAAGGGTGATGGGTCTGAAGGAGTAAGGGGAGTGGGAAGTGATGGGGGTACATGGTAGTTGCATTACGCATCAAGGGGTGGGTGGGGACAAGGGCCAGTGTTTCCTCTGGGTTCCAGCTTAACCCATGTGGCAATGGTGCTGATAATACGAAAAGGAACAAATGCAATGAAGACTCAGGAAGTGTCTGGTGTTTGATCTGTGAGATTTTTGTACGCACAGAAGATGAATGTGCAACTATACTATGCTGGGCAGCTCCAAACATAGGCATGCCACTCAGAGGAAGCCAGGACTGCCTTAGAGACTAATGTGGGTGTGTCTCTGGCTGCGTTTATTCATACAGGGGATGTAATTTTCCTACCAGTGTATTTGAGTTATTAAGTTGTCAGAAAAGTCATAAAGCATTGAAAAACAGAAAACTACGTGATAACTTTTCTGAGCACCCAATATAATAATACACCACTGGTTAGCTGACGAAAGGAACCTCATCTAGTAGCCAAATGATTCTGTGAAAGTAAAATATCCCTATTTCCACAAAATATAAATGAACTTTTATAAAATACGTGTATCAGATATATTTGTAAATGGCTTCATGTGATATTGTAGTGACTAGGGTTGTTAACAACTGACCCTGAAATTCAATGATGTAAGACCACCACTTATGGTGTTGGATGGTCTGGAATTGCATGGGACACGAGGCATGACAGGGACAGTCTGTCTCCACATAGTCTGGGCTGGCATGTTCTAATGGGTGGGCATCTAGTGCTGGTTGTCAGCACGCAGACTTCAGTTCCCATTCCCCTGCACGTAGGCACTCCCTGAGGTCTCTCTGTGGGGGTTTAGTGTAGGCACCTGCCATCATGGACCTGGGTAATTAGAGCTAGATCCCTGGAGAGGGACAAGCACAACTGAATCCTTCTGTGCCCCAGCTGGGAGGTCACAGAGCATGGCTCCCACCACACTCCAAAGGTCAGCACTACCACACACCTCACAAAACTCCATGCTACAGAAAAGTGTCCATCACATAAGAAGAGCATGTGGGATTTGATGCAGCCATCTTTGGGAAATTAAATCTACAGGACAAGTCAACAGGAGACAGAAAGGGACGATCAGTAAAAACTCCAACCAGCAAACTTCATCCACTCCAGGTCCACTCACTTTTAGGGATTTAAAAAAGAGACATTCAGGCCCTCCCTGGTGGTGCAGCGGGTTAAAGCACAGCACTGAGAATCTAAAGCCGCTTCCGCATGAGTTCGATTCCCGCCTGCCCCGAAGGTGACCACATGGCGTGGCAGACCTCTCCTGACCCGCCCACTGCTCCCCTCAGCAGTGTACTTCGTCGATCTGCCTGTTCTGCTCCCCACTCTGTCTATGGTGAAGCCTTTCGCCGCCCCTGAGCCTTTGGCCTGTACCCCAGTTCTGTATGCACAAATAAATAAATCTTTAACAAAAAAAAAAAAAAAGAGACATTCAAATCCAAACGACATGGAAGCTCAAACATTACTGAATGCCCATTTAAAACCTAGCATGATCACCAGAGAAGCTAGCAATTTCTTCCACCTGTAGGGAGGGAAAGTGCCACTCAAGTTTAAGAATGTGGACTGTGTGCCACAAGAGAGGTTGGTGGTTCTGGTGCAAGTCATGTGGGAGGGTTAGACATGGCCCCATCCACTGACCACAATGACAAGTCTCAACTCTGTACTTTTCAATTCCTCTGCTAAATTCATCTAATCTAAGCCACTCTGCACAGAGCTCTGTTGCTCTTTGGTGCTAATAAGTACTTTTAAATGATTGAAACAGATAAATGATTCAGATAAGATAAATATAGTGATGAATATCTATTTAAAACCTAGCACAATCACCAGAAAAATCTGTTTATTTTGTATAGTACAGAACACCAAAGAGCAGAGGTTATAGCAGAGGACTGTTAATTTACCAGTCTCCAATTTGTTTTTCTTTTCTTTTAACAACTCTCATTTAAATCAACACACACACTTAAATAAATATCCCATAACCAAGAAAACTAGTCCATTAATGTGAAGATGGTTCAATTTACCATATAATTATAACTTACTGTATACATTTAAGGAATACAAAATCAAGTGATTACCTCCATAATCACTGATCATATCTTAGCAAAATTCAGCATCTATATTTGGGAAGTTTTTTTTTAAACATTCAAAATAGGAATTAATATATAATTTTTAATATGATAAAATACATAAACCTCAATCCCAAAGCCAGGATGTTACTTAAAGTTGGGTAGCATTAGCTGCTACCCAACTCACATCAGAAATAAAAGCAAAGATAACCTTCTGCTCTCCACTACTATTTGACATTCAATACAAGCTATAAGCCAAAGCAATCAGACCAGAAGATAGAGATGTTAAGATCACACAAACTGTCTCTACTTGCAGGTGAAATAACAAGATATCTGGAAAATCCAAGAGAATCCACGAGAAAAGCTGATGCAACCGATTAAAAAATTTAGTAAAATAGCGGAGGGTAGAATTAATGTAAAACACCATCAGTAAAGTCTGACGGTGTGCTCAAGAAGATGGAGAAACAGTCATATACTGAGGTGGGAATGCAAAATGATATGTAGTCTGCCTACCAAAGGAAATGCAACACTATCTAACAAAATTACCCATTTACCCTGGAACCTAGCATTGCCATTTTTAGACATCTCTCCCCAAGAAAGAGTGACAAAGATAGAATTTTAGAGGCACTCAAAATAAAAATCGATGTGTACTATTTTACCATGTTAAAAAAATGCATAAATCAAACCCCTTGTGACAGGTGCACAAGATTATTGTTCACTGCAGGGCTGTTTCTGATAGCAATAGACTAGAAAACAATCTGCATGTCCAGCAATATGGGATGGGTTAAACTAGGACATATCCATTGAATGAAACACTACAGCTCTGGCTGAGGGGTAAAGAATGTTTCTATGTACCATGTGGAATAAGCTCCAAGACCTGGTCTTAGCTGAAAAAAAGCAAAATAGAGAAAAGTACATCAGTTACAGGACAGGGGGAGGGGCACCTTTGAGCCCCCAAACCTACCCACTCTAACTAGGTTCTGCCATCCGCCTCATCAAGGCAAAACATGAAAGACCTTTAATGGAAAATCACTTTAATACAATCAGTGTGCAATACAGCAAACACAAAGAATATAGTTTCTAAATCAAACACCCAAAGTTACCCATCCTTTTGTGGGTAAAAGTCTACCTAAAAGGGATTGGCCTAAAGCAAAACCTGAAAGTCCTGCACAGTCTAAAGCATCTTCCAGCAGGGACCCATAGAAAGAGGCCACAAATGGCCAGAAAGTCTGAGAGGAAAAGAGCAAAATGAAAATCAAAATAAATGCTAGCATACTTAACCTCCCCATGGGTCTCTCACCCACATCTGTTTCACTCAGTCCAGGACCAAGAAACAAGAGCCGCTTCTTCACATGTCTCCCTGTTCCATATGCCTCCCTCAGGGCTCCTCCTGGCTCTCTATTCTGCTTCCTTCCTCTTCAGTCTCCTCTCCAGATTCTTCTCTCCGCTCAGCTCCACCCTCCTTTGGGTGGGGCAAGGAAACCGGAACCACCCCATTTCCTGAGGATCACCCTATTATATATCTAGCATGTAGCACCCATCTAAGGAAGTGAGGGGAGGGCTGAATATACGCGTGTGGGTGTGTGTATGTGGACCGTGATTTTAAATGGAAGGGCAAAGAAACTTTCCAAACCTACAGAAGAAAAGAGAAACGGAGTAAAGACAGCACGGTGAGGAGCTGGACTTCTACGACGATTTGTCATTTGTACATTGGACTTTAGAACCAGATAAAAAATTTACTTAATTATAAAACAAAGGCCAGAGCAACAAACATAAATTTCACCATTGACCCTATTTTAAAGGCGGTGGACAAATCTGCATAGAAAGGAAAACGAGCAGAATCAATGTGATGGATCAGACCATGGAGCAAATTTCCAAGAAAGAAGTAAAGTTCTAATGGGCAAAGACAGAGAATGAACAGATGCTAATAGAGAGACTTACCTCAACCTTGCTGTCAGGTTCATGGTCAGCAGCCGAGAAATACACAACCTCCTGCACTTCATCCCTGGGCCGAGCTGAATTTTTTCCGAATACCACCAGCCCTTCCTTAGCCCGTGGTGGGAAGGCCACAAAACAGTAACTCGGAGGAGCTACAGCCATCCTGAAAAGAAGAGTTCCAGAGAAATACATTCCATCGGTGGGTTCCTCAAACACATTTCCCCAACTAAAATAGCTTTTGTATTGATCTATGTGTAGCCAGCTAGCTCATTAAGTGATCCCAGCTGGCAAATGAAGGTGGGGTGCCTGGAGTAGAATTACAGAGGCCCTGAGACTAGATAATAGTGTTTAGGACTCTGTGGAATTAAACAAGCTCAGATTTGCAACAAACCGCAGTGGCAGCCAAAAGTGCAATGACGTAGGAAAAAGGAAAGGAGGTTATTGTTCCAGACAGAACACACACACACACACACACACACACACACACACTGCAATCTGTCACAGTAATAGAAATATATACTTTATAACAGGGCACCACAGAACTGATGTGAATCTAGAGATGCTCCTCTCCAAACTGGGTCCCTGTCCAAGGTCCCCTATCTCAAATGCCAGCTCCATCATCCATCCACAATTTTGGAATGATCCTTACCAGCTGTTTCACCATGTTAACATATCACCAAGTCCTGTATATTTCATCTCTCAAATCTTTATGGAAACTCTACTTCTCTGCAAATCAGCTATATCACCCTGCACCAGGTTACCATTATCTCCAGCCTGAATCACTCAGCAACTTTCTAAGGGGTCTCTCCACAACTTCTATTACTCTCCCTCCAAACCTTTTCTACATTGCAGCTAGTGTAATCTGTGGGTCAAGCAGGTGCCCTCAGCTAGTCACATCTCTCACTATTCACCTCTCCATGCTCTTCAGCACACAGCCTGTTTTCTGGTTTCCCCAGTACTCCCAGGGCCTTTGCACTGGCGCCTTTCCTGAGCACTTGCCTCTGCTCTGTACACCCGAACCACTGGCTGAGTTAATATCTGCTTTCACATGCCAGCTCGGATATCACCCTATCTATGCTACTGTGCTACATACTCCAGGGACTCCTGTTCTTTTCCTTTATGGAGCAATCACAATCTTAAGTATCTGTGTGATTATTTTAATATCAACAATCAATTTTTAGTCTTTTCCACTCAAAGTTGAAGCACTATAAATGCAGGGACCATGTCTTTTCTCACACTCCTGTAAACTAAGTGCTACATGGTTCTTTCTGCAGGCTAGATTTTCAATTAATAATAAACAAATGTTCTGTCCTATTTTTTTTTTAAATACTCCACCAAACTGAAGCTAGCACTCTGCAACTCTTTCTTATCACCATTCCTCTGTGCCTGGCTAGAATGTCCTTCCCTTAGTTTTGGGGCCTGTCCTTCAGGTTTGGCTTCAAAATCCTTTCCTTTTGGAAAATTCCTATAGAGGACTCAGTCATTTTCTTGCATTGAATAAGCACCGATGCATCCATTGCTTGTAAGTGCATCATTTCAGCTGTTTCAAATAAAGACCCTCAATTTTGATCAGTTTCTCCCTTGTACTGCTGGCACTCAGAAAATATTATTTATTGAAATAGCTAGCATATTTATATTATAAAGTATCCACCTTAAATGTGTATTATTTTCTGAGTCCAAGACATAAATGAGAGCTGAAGCTATGTTCTCAGAAAAGCAGCTGGAATTTAAAACTCAGCCCCTACCCACCAGCTGTGTGACCTTAAGTAGAAAACCTTACCCCTAGGTTTTGTCTTTGTACATGTTTTGCCCTAGCCTACAAATTTATTATGAACATCAAGTGAAATGATGCTTGAAAACATAATTTGCAATTGTGGGGGCTGCATGAGCATAAAATATTTTATTGGGTTTTGGCTGTGCTAGTAGAACGTTTGTCAAATTTCAATTGAGTAAGCCCATCAAAACCAACCCACCTCACTCATAACTGCAGTACTGATCATATCACTGAGTTGTACATTCTCTGTTTTGAAATGTCTTTTTTTTTTTTTAAGATTTATTTATTTATACATACACAGCTGGGGTATACAGGCCAGAGGCTCAGGGACGGTAAGAGGCTTCATCAGAGACAGAGTGGGGAACAGAACAGGCCGATGGATGAAGTACACAGCTGAGGGGAACAGTGGGTGGGTCAGGAGAGGTCTTCCACAGGGGATCAAACTCATGCTGAAGTGGCTTTAGCATCTTAGTGCTGTGCTTTAAACCACTGCACCACCAGGGAGGTCCTAGAAATGTCTTTTTGATGAGCACCTGCTGTTCCAGGATCCAGGCTAGTTCAAGGGAATCTGCACAGGCATACCCTGGACTGTCAGAGCTCTTCCCCTTCTTGCTTATGGCAGGCCCCTCCCAGGACACAGAGAAATGGGGGAGCCCAGAGCCCTGCCATCAATTCCCTCCCACCGCAGGAAAAATCCCTCCTCTCTTTTGTGAGTAAGAAAAGGCAGAAAGATAAAGAGACTTTAGTTCTTTCTTCCTTTAACTTTTCCTAGTACCACAAAAACTTATTTTCAGACTAGGGGCAAAGAGAGATAAAGACCGCTTGTATAAGAAAGACCTAGAATAATTATGAGATAAAATGCCTCTATAGAGCATTAACTAAAATTTGGGGATTGGGAGGAATTGTTGACTCAGTCAAATAAAGACCCCGGAGATCAGAAAAAGAAGGAGTGCATGTACTTATCTTTGGATGCTTCTCTATATAATACGACTCCTTCCCTCCCCTATTGTCAGGCCATTTCGAAAGTGCTTGTGTCTGGTACAAGCAGGACCTTACTTTATCTAATATATTAAAATGGTAGGAATCCACTGGTCTTGAATTTATGAGCTGAATCTGTAGAAAATAAATAAAACCCACTTGGTTTTTGACAAGCACCTACTCTTTAGCCAGTCTCTGCTTTGTCAGCAAGTCATTTGGGTCACTTGACGATGACAATGATGTAGGCAACAGAAGTTCATGGGTTTGTGGGATCAGGGATGCTGGCTTTTCTGCTGAATTTGTTAACAACTGGAAATGCTAAGAGGGAACAAATTTCAGTGCCTTTTTTTTTTTAATGCTAGACAAATCAACAAATTGTGCCTTACAGCTAGTAACAAACTAGCCAAAGATAATTGTCCATTTATTTTTCCTGGGTCACCATTCTAAACATTGACTAGATTCTGAAATGATATACCTAGATCATTTTGACTTTCTAGATCAATGCTATCCAAAAGGACTTTGGATATTCTATATTCTATATAGAAATATTCTATCTCTACTGTCTAATATGATGGCCACTAGTCCCCTGTGTTTTGAGGTGCAGTTAGTGTAGTTAAGGAAATTTTTAATTTTATGCATAACTCTAATCAGTTTAAATGTGAATGGCCAGGTGTGGCAAGTAGGATTCCCATTGGTCAGGGCGGCTGTTGAATCAATCCAGAGTGAAGATTTTCACATTCAGGCTTCCTAAAATTTCAGAAGTACTTATTTGTGAAGTCCTCTACTGTTTCTAATGACAAAATGTGTGTATCGCTCATATAAGTTGAAGAGCAAAGCGAAGACTTGACATCTTCAGACAACTGAAGAAAACAAAGTTAAGAAGCAACTACTGAGCTCACCAGGCAGAATGAGTTTAAAAACGGTCTCTTCTCCAGAAGATAAAGGTGATCATAGCCCTGGATGTCAGTTCTATTTGCTTTCATGAGAGTCTCATTTTCCTAAGGAAACTGGCCTCACTGTTCGCTGGAAATCCTTTGTGTACTTCTCAGGTCAGTTCCTCTCTTAATCTCTTAAAAGAACTTTTGATATCTTCTCTTTCTTCAAAGTGCCAATCAGCTCCTCTAAGCAGATCTCTACCTCCTCCTCCACAAAGACAGGGGTTTTATAGGTGGTGGGATGTGCACATATGAATACCTTGTGGCTGAAGAATGGGGAAGGAGCCAATAAGTCAAAGAGTCCATGAAGTGAAGGCCATAGTGAGAGGGACAGAGGCTGGAGAAGCAGATAGAGAGACCAGTAGACTTTGAGGCCATGGCAAGAAGGTTAGTACTAATAATAATCACTAAAGTCACTGAAAGTCTTTAAGCCAGATTTTAAGTTAGAAGTGGAGCCAGTGCATATAGACAACTTTTCAATGAAGTTGGCTGTGACAGGCCAATATGTGATTTCCACATATTAGGTGGAAATCAAAGGATCCACTCACAGGTAATTTCACTTCTATGTGCTACTCTAAAGAACCGATCAAGATATGGGTGTGATTTATGCAGTATTAATACTGGTGAAAATTTACTGTAACCTGTCGAATGCCAGAGAAATGACTAAAAGTTTATGCTACATCTATATGGTAAAATACTAGAAAACCATTAAAGATAGGTCTGTGAAGAGTTTTTAACTGCATGGGGAGAGGTTTGGGGAGAGCAGTCAAAAAAATTATCTTATGTATGCAAAAGTAAGCATATACAGTTCACATGTCTAACAAGGGCCCAATTTATAAAATACATATGTATATATATATATTTTTTTAAAGATTTATTTATTTGTGCATACAGAATTGGGGTACAGGCCAGAGGCTCAGGGGCGGTGAGAAGCTTCACCAGAGACAGTGGAGAACAGAACAGGCAGGTCCACGAAGTGCACTGCTGAGGGGAGCAGCGGGCGGGTCAGGAGAGATCTGCCACGCCATGTGGTCACCTCCAGGGCAGGCGAGAATTGAACTCATGTGGAAGTGGCTTTAGATTCTCAGTGCTGTGCTTTAACCCGCTGCGCCATCAGGGAGGGCCCATAAATGAGTTTTTTTTTTTTAATTTATTTTATAGGCCCTCCCTGGTGGTGCAGCGGGTTAAAGAACAGCACAAAGAAGCTTAAGCCACTTCCACATGAGTTCGATTCCCGCCTGCCCCGGAGGAGATCCACATGGCGAGGCAGACCTCTCCTGACCCGCCCGCTGCTCCCCTCAGCAGTGTACTTCGTCGATCTGCCTGTTCTGCTTCTCCACTCTGTCTCTGGTGGATGCTCTCACCCTCCGCATCTCTGGCCTGTACCCCAGTTCTGTACAAATAAATAAATAAATCTTAAAAAAAAAAAACCCATTTAACTCAACAAAAAAAGTAAACAACCCAATCAAAAAAGTG